ACGGACGGTTTAAGAAGGATGACTAATTCAGAGAATCTATTGTAAAAATGTACAGATAATTCTTGTTTATTCATTCTCTTTCCTCCAAAAAAATGTTTGGCACTTTAATCTTAAATACTATTGTGTACATAATTTTAAATTTCTGTAACGGCCATTTTTACTGCTTTTATTAACAAATCGGGCTTTTTTCATTTTTCATAGTAGCTTGATCGCCCGCTAGCTTGAAGAATTACGACTAGCCAAGATTTTATAGTTTTAGCTGAATTAGCCATTTTCACTTCGAAATTTTTTTTCCCCATCCTACTACAAGCCAAGCGCCATTTTTGAGATCATTACACGGTTTCCGAGGTTTCCGGCCCCCTTCGATAATAGGAGACGAGTTGCAGATAACGAACATCTCTTCGCATTGGCTAAATGCCCACAGCACTTCGCTCCCCCCTACGTACGTCATCCAAATGAAAGACACAGAAGTATAGCAGCCATTTTTCAACAAGTTTTAAGAGGGACAGCTTTGCATCGCCAAAGGTCAGTTTTTGTTTCTTTTGTTACCACTTTTTCTTGGTCTTAGCAAGACCCACTTAGTTTGTTCTCTTCTTAATTTTTGTTTTATTTTATATTAATTACAGGTTTTCATTACAATTTTCTAAAATCTATTATTTAAAAAATTAAATTGTTAATCTTTAAGCTTGCAGACCCAGCCCGTATGTTTTTTGTATTTTTAGGACTAATAGCTCATCATTTTTTTGTTTTTTTTTTTTTTTTTTTTTTTTTTTTTTTTTTTTTTTTTGTTTTTTTTTTTTTTTTTTTTTTTTTTGCGCTATTTATTTTCGTTTTTGATTTTAATTTTAATTTTAGTCTAGATTTAGGAAGTTTAGGTTTTGATTAACATTTTTTAACACCTTAATGTGTCATTCTGTGCGGACGCGTCGGGAAATTGGAACAGAGAATTGAGACTATTAAAATTTCCATGACACTTTGTCTAAATTTAAAAAAAAATTTTAGCGAAAAAGTTTCAATTGTCTGTTTCGGCGAAACGCGTAATGGGGTTAGCTTGATTCGACGTTCAAATAAATGAAATTTCCCTTGAAAAGCATGTTTGGAAGTCGAATTGGGCTAATTTACCATTTTCCGCTTACTTTTAAACTTTTTCTGTTTTTTAATATTTTTTAATGTTTTACATGTCTAATGATTTGATTTTCATGCGTATTAATTTTTTTGAAAACGTGTTGAACCTTTTGGAGCAGCAGCTCATGGTAACTTTTAGGCGAGCTTACTACAATTTTTATATTTTACTTATTTTGCAGCATATTGCGCAAGATGTTTTCTAGACCAAATAAATTATTGCAATAACATTTTCAACATCCACTGAAAGTAAGTCAGGTGCTGTTTGAATAGTATTGTGTAGAATGTGAGCTGCACAACCTACTGCAATAATTTTTTGGTTCAAATGTTCGCTTAAGTTTCGTAAAAACGTTATTGATGCTTCTTCTAGCTTTTCCACCAAAATTTGCGTTAGTGTTATCCTCACAATAAGCAATAATTTTATTGTTCATATTATTCTTTTTTAAAATAGTACTTATTAAATCAAAATTATTTATGAAGTTTCACCCGGCAATGAAACAAAAGCTGTATTCGAATTTTAATTCCTGTTTCTGGATAAAAACGTCTAACTTTATTTCAGATATAAAAAATACACTCAGATATATATATATTCTAAGAGATATATATATATAATATACTCAGATATTATGCTTTACTACTCAGCAATACTTGATCGAATTTTGTGGTATTGGATATGCTTTCACATCATTTTATTAAATTTCTTTAGAATACGGTTACTTTTATCTGGGTGCATGTTCTTCCTTTTATATTTTGTTTATTATCTCTATCTTTAAAATATATTGAACACAAATTCTCTACATTGATTATATATTCTTTATGAAAATGAATAATTGGGCTAAATAATGTATAAGACACTTTAGTGAACATTATATAGCATTACAGAACTAATTCTAGAATGGCTACTACGAGAAAGGCTATCAAATACTGCATTTTTAAGTAAATAATAGAAGCATATTTCTATCGTAGTTATATGAGAACTGAATAATACGAGATTATAGTATAGTTAGTTATATATAAGAATAACTAAAATAATATTTTCACAAGCATAAACATAATTTTTCAATACTTGGGTTTTCAAAGCAGAAAGAGTTTTAAAATAGTACACATCCAGAACTAAGTGTCAGAAGTAGCTAGTTATCTGATACATATGTAGATCATATGAGCAGGAATGTGATATATTGATACATATATGAAATTGTTACATATATGTGGAAACACACTAGTTGCTGGTAAAACTGAAGTGAAGTAATGTCAGTTGACGTTAGTCTGTAATAAACAACGTGCTATGTGAGAGTGTTGTAATGAACTTAATTATAGATCAATAAATATTAATATGATTAAAACATGGCGCAGCCGGTAGGATTCGAACCTACGCGGAGAAACAGCAGGATTAGAGAAATTAAATGAGGCTTTACTGGAATATAGAAATACTCCAATTTTAGGTGTAAATTTATCACCAAGTCAAACGCTATTAAGTAGGAATTTAAGAACACGATTACCAATTATACAAACAGAATTGAAACCAACTGTAAAAGATCAATATAGAGAAAAGGTGAGGAGTAAGCAGAAACAGGCTAAAATCTATTATGATAAGCATGCAAGGGAAAGACCTGAATTTATTCCTGGGGAAAAGGTAATATTGAGATGGGAAAATAAATGGGAGCCTGCTATAGTTTTAAAAAAGCATTCAACTTCTAGATCATATTGGATTAGAACAAAAGATAATAGGGTAATTAGACTGAATAAATTCCATTTAAGAAAAACTAAAAATCAGAATTTAGTGATATTAGACTATTATGATCTATGTAATGAGAATGAGGAAAATATAAGTAGTGAACATCCAAAAATACATAATGATCCTCACCATCAAAATAATAGCAATAATATTAATCGTGATTGTGTATATAAAACAAGAAGTGGTCGTAATGTATATCGACCATCCAAATATGATAATTATGTAATGCATTGATTCCTATGACTTTCCCAAAAGAGGGGAGGTGTTACATATATGTGGAAACACACTAGTTGCTGGTAAAACTGAAGTGAAGTAACTGTCAGTTGATGTTGGTCTGTAATAAACAACGTGCTATGTCAGTGTATGTGCTAATATTAGCATGATTAAAACAGAAATCGGATCCAAATGTAATTGCCCTGCGTTTATGCCTGAAATGCACATTATTTTACTTTTAATGCTTATTTAGCAATATAACAGAACCAAACTAGCAACCAGTTACCAAACAAATACAAACACATCTTAATCCCGCTTTTTCCCCATATATTGTCTTTTAAAAAATAAATAAAAACTTGATTTTTCCTATCTCTAAACTTTCTTAAGCTAATGTAGTTCCCTCTAGTGTGCATCATGATAACCAATTCTGCAATTTTCCTATTTCTGCTCATTACTTAGTGTACTATGATTCTAAACTAATAAGTGGACTGTATAGCAAAAGAACTAACTAATTTATTTACAGTAATTAACTATTCAGATCTAATACATGCTCTGGCATGTTGCTTAGCCGAATCCAGATGGCCAAGTGAGAGTTTCTCTCCCTATCCAATAGGTGGCGCTATATTCTAACTTAACACTTAGATATTTTTCTGATGTGGATGTACATGGTTTTGAACCATAGGCACTCCGTAATTTATAATCATTGGCATTTGCATATTTTGCTTTCTCCCTAGCTCCTATTCCTCACATGATATTTACTTCCGTTGGCATAATGAAATGTCGCCCATATCCTTAAAGGAGTCAAGTTGGCGCAACTAAGGCTGTTTTCCGTAGATTATCCAAAAGTTTATTATTTTGGATTTAGTTTATGTTTTTTGTATTGATTTGGAAAGCACAATTTTATTCGATTAGCACTAAGGTCTTGCACCTGGTGTATACTCCATTCCATGGAGGAGAGATATAGTAATAATAATTGATCGCGCATTGTGTAATAAAGCTTCGGATATGCTTCGGAGAACAGCATTAGTTGGGCCAACTTGGCGCAAAATTAATATGTGAGCTGAAATGATGAGTAAAATGAACTTTGAGAGTAAGAGGTGTAATAGAGCTGTTGAACCAGAAAGCCGTCGAACTCGTGTGATTGCTGAAAACATGTAACAAGTAAAATGCGAGAACTTTTTCAAGTAAGTTAGTATGAGGCAAGACTTACAATACGTTAAGGCCCATTTACACTAGCGGAACTTTGAGCCTAAGAAATGCACGCGGAAGTTGCTAGCTTCACTAAATGGCGAAAATGTTACTCTTTTTTTTTATAACTGAAACTGAATATGTACACATTTAAATAAACAGCCTAACTTATAACATTATTCAAGAGTTTAAGAGTTAAATATTCCCTCATAATACGAAAAAATTGCTGTTTAAAAGCTCTCAAATGAATCTTCAAATTCGCCTGCGTTTCTTAGGCTCAAAGTTCCGCTAGTGTAAATGGGCCTTGACAGTATGGGTGAACTTACAATATAACAATATACTTAATCATATGAGTTGAAAGTGGATATGCAGAGAGACTGAGTGAAATATGGTTATATACATAGCTAGCAGACAAAATGACAAACAGTAATTAATCATTATTCGTGTTTAGATAAGGACACTGGTGTTTAGAAAAAAACACCGGTCTGTTCGTTGACATCTTTTCGATAACATGATTTTTTTTTATTTGCATAAACGTTTTGAGCTACAGGTGTTTAGTAGTTCGACTTTCAGTTCCTGGTGAATTCTGTTGTTACCTACTATTACTATATCTATGATAACCACCATAGTCTGAGTTACCACAGTCTGAGCTGTTTATTCCTTGTTTGGCATCAAGCCTGTTGTCCGGATAATAAGGTTGATTTTCCACCCCGTGGTAAAAGACCTGTGAGACTGCAAAACAAGACATCTTTCTCTCTTTGTATTTCCGGCGCGGCAGTATTTTGAATTGCTTAATAGAATATGATTTTTAGTATTATTAGATTCTTTCTCTGAAACAGACAAACACATTCAGAAATCTATACAGTTTTTAAAATGTCAGAAATTGAAATTAAGCGCATTGTTTCCTTTAGCAGTGAAGATAAGGTAACTCATGTTAATATGACTTGAAGATCAATTTTTAAAGCTGACATCAGAGAATTAATTATTTATCTAGAATAAAGCTCTATTTTGATTTCATTGTCATTTTATTTAATTGTTTACAAAATTGTAAACTATATGTATAAAACTTGTACTATAAAAAATTATTGTTCACAATAATGGAATTGTTATTGGAAATCACTTGATGTGTATCCTTCTTCGAATGAATAGAATTTTTTTTTGCTGATACAGATATAAAAATGAGTTTACTTGATTTAATTTTCAGGTTCACAAAGCTGAGAATTTATTGGTGCCGGAAACTTATAAGAGATGGAATTGTGCAACACCAGGGGAAAAGAATGCAATTATTATATTGCAGTTTGAGAAAGCCACTGAGATACATTCAATTAATATACAGAATGATGGTTCAGCCTTCATTGAGGTTCTTGTGCGTCGATCATCAGATCGCTTAACTGATTATCAGGTAAGAAATTAAATTTGAATATATTGACATCATTCAACAATATGTTTGACCCAGTTATCTGTGTACATTAGCGGGTTTTCATCCGCAGAGAACCCATTGGCGCTTTGGGAAAGAATTCATTGGCAACGTTGCATTTTTACTCGCCAAGCTCGCGTTAATCGACGATGAGCCGAGCCGTAAACGTGCTTTTTAGTGCATGTAAATTCAAGTTAGCAGACAAAACAATATATTAAGCATATGGTAGTAAAAATTCGCAGATAATAAGCATGTAGATGTAAAACTAACCGGTTAAACGTGATATACGAAAATTAACTTGTATTAAATTAAAGTTAGCACAGAAAAGAATATATTAAGCATAAGACAATATTATAAGCATTTATAACGGAAATAAAAATTCATTTAAAAAATATAAATTAGTATTAATGTGGTTAAAATTGCATAATCGGGGTGAGTGCCAAGCTTGGCGAGAGTTTTTAATTTGGTTGTGGTTTCTAGTTGTATGTTTTCTTGTGGCAAACCTAGAGCTTTATTTAGGTAATTGTAAGAGTGCAAATTTAGAGTAGCCAGATTTTTTTTTTAAATTTAATTTTGAAATACTGTGTTTGATTTTAAAAGTTTTACTGTTTAATATTATTGTTATATATATATGTTTAATATTATATTTATATAAATGGTTGATCTTTGGATTATGGTAACTTGGCAAAAATTTGGCGACCAACTCTGCTACAGCAACCCTCTATTTTTTTTTCGCCGCCATTTTGTTTTCACGAAGTAAAGACATGTTTCTTTTCTTTTTATTTACTGAACACTTTTTTCAACAATCTTCTAGCTGAATTACACTTATGCTAGAAATTTTATGTAACAAAACTGCTTAATCATGACAAATATTAACTGCAAAATTGGGAAAAAGTGCACAATCGCAAACTCCTTGCGCGTTTTTCAGAATAGCACATGCCCACCAGCGGCCGAGCGGTAAAGTCGCTGAACACTGGTAGTTCGGTCCGAGGTTCGAATCCTGCGAACGGGCTGGCTGCATGGGTGTTTTCGTGGTTTTCCCCATGTGTAACGTGTATACGAGCCAGTTTCCCTTAGAAAGTCCTCCACGGAAGGCATCCCTCCTCTTAGGCAGATAGCCCTAGTGTGCTTTGCCATAATTAAATACACCACCAGAATAGCACATACACATAAACCATGTACACGTCGACTTATTTTTACTTAAAAAAACATCCCAGAATTGCACAAAAATGGCATTGCGCACACTCTTCACTATATCCATGTACACTGCTTTTTTTTCATAAATTAGAAAAATTTCACGAAAATGCATGATAATTTTCTGAATCTTTAAATCCGGTAAAAAGAACTTATATGAAATTACCTGATCGCGAAAAAGTATATACCCTTTCCAAAGATGAACATTTCCACGTATAAAATAAATAAAATATCCAAAACTTTTACCTCTAAATTATCTATTATATTACAAACATCACCAACGAATTCATACCGCAGACATTACAAATGGTTACAAATACTTAGTGTCAAATATTTAAATTATTTCCATGCATGTTTACTTCCACTCAAATGTATACCAAATTCCTACAAACATATAATTCACAAAATAACTATCATTTAATTAAAATATAATTAAATTCAAAAACACTACTTAAAATACAAATAAGCACATACATTAAATTAATAAAAATTAGCTTACAATCCTAATTACTTTAAACTAAATCATTGCTAATAACAATTTTCCAATAATACCATATTACTTTGTTTACTCCTTACATTTAGAACAATGCATAAAAATAATATCCTCAAATAATTAAAAATACTAACTTACCTAATCTTCTTCAGAATCTTGATTACTAGGCGGATACACTTTTCTTATTTCTTCCGCTAAATAAAAAGCAATCATATGTGCGCCTGTTTCAGGATCTTTAAAATCATACTTACAGTTCACAGCAAGATGTTGAAAACCTTCATCCTCCAAACAGACTTAATAAAACTTAATAAGCAATCTTTACTTCTATCTCACACAACCTTAAAAAAACACTTATTACTACCCCTTTCAATCCCACTAAATACCCATTTCGAATTCACTTTAGATAGGGCCATGGGATCCAAAAATTAACCAACACTGTTTCACACAACCCAGAATAAAGCTAAATACAAAATTTCCAGATTTCCCCCCTTTTCCGATTAAAGAACTGTAATTCATCCATTAATGTCACATGACATATCTCATGATCTCTCATTTCCCTCACACAAAATAATGCGTAATCGGAACTGAGGACTTCTCACATTATTACCAAAGTCTTAGGTAGTAACCTTTTATCGCCTCCAAAATGTCGCTAAACTACCAGTTACCATATTCCAAAGATCAGCCATATAAATATTTGCAGAAGGTTAAGCTGCTGTTGGTGGGAGAATATGCTGTTGGTGTTGGATTTCATATGACATGAAGTTTATAATTTATGAATGTTTTCATTTAATTTTATTTAGTTAATTTTTTTTTTTTTTTATTATTATTATTGTTATTTATGTTTCTTGCATGTGGCAATCGAAAGATGTGGAATATTTAAAGCTTTCAACGAAAGTTGTTTAGTGTGTTGAATTCCACGACGATAGTAACTTGAATATTTGGTTGATCTTTACATTACGGTAACTGGTAGTTTGGCGACATTTTGGAGGCGATAAAGGTTACTACCTGGGACTTTGGTAATAATGTGAGCAGTACTGAGTTCCGATTACGCATTATTTTGTGTGGGGGAAATGAGAGATCATGGGATATGTCATGTGATATTAATGGACGAATTACGGTTCTTTAATCGGAAAAAGGGGGGAAATTGGGAAAAAATCTGGAAATTTTGTATTTGGCTTTATTCTGTGTTGTGTGAAATAGTGTTTGTGAATTTTTGGATCCCATGGCCGTAAGTAAAGTGAATTCGAAATGGGTATTTAGTGGTATTGAAAAGGATAGTAAGAAATGTTTTTTAAGGTTGTGTGTGAGAGAGAATAACATGTTTTATTATGTTATTTATTTTACCTGGTATCTTGCTTTGAAAGATAAGTATGGATTTTAAAGATTCTGAAGAGAATGAAGAAAAGTGTATCCGCCACGTAATGAAGATTCTGAAGGAGATTAGGTAAGTTAGTACTTTTAATTATTTTTATGCATTGTTGGAAATGTAAGGTGGAAAGGAATTTGGTATTATTGGGAAAATTGTTATTAGCAATGATTTAGTTTAAAGTAATTAGGATTGTAAGGTAATTTTTATTAATTGAATGTATGTGCTCATGTATATTTTAAGTGGTGTTTTTGAATTTAATTATATTTTAATGAAATGATAGTTATTTTGTGAATTTTATACTTGTAGGAATTTGGTGTATGTTTAAGTTGAAATAAATGTGCATGGAAATAATTTAAATATTTGATAATAAATATTTGTAATGCTTCATGTATGAATTCGTTGATGACGTGTATAATGTAATAGATGATTTAGAGGTAAAAGTTTTTGGATATTTTATTTATTTTATATGTGGAAATGTTCATATTTGTAAAGGGTAAATACTTTTTCGCGATCATGGTAATTTCATATATGTTCTTTTTACCGGGTTTAAAGATTGAGAAATTGTCATGTATTTTCGTGAAATTTTTTTAATTTATGAGATAAAAGCAGTGTACATGGATATAGTGAAGAGTGTGCGCAATGCCATTTTTGTGCAATTCTGGGATTTTTTTTAAGTAAAAATAAGTCGACGTGTACATGGTTCAGTGATATTTTAATGAAATGATAGTTATTTTGTGAATTTTATGCTTGTAGGAATTTGGTTTACGTTTAAGTTGAAATAAACGTGCATGGAAATAATTTAAATATTTGATACTAAATATTTGTAATGCTTCATGTATGAATTCGTTGGTGACGGGTATAATGTAATAGATGATTTAGAGGTAAAAGTTTTTGGATATTTTATTTATTTTATATGTTGAAATGTTCATATTTGGAAGGGTAAATACTTTTTCGCGATGAGGTAATTTCATATATGTTCTTTTTTACCGGGTTTAAAGATTGAGAAATTGTCATGTATTTTCGTGAAATTTTTCGAATTTATGAGAAAAAAGCAGTGTACATGGATATAGTGAAGAGTGTTGCGCAATGCCATTTTTTGTGCAATTCTGGGATGTTTTTTTAAGTAAAAATAAGTCGGCGTGTACATGGTTTTATGTGTATGTGTTATTTTGAAAAAAACGCGTAAGGTGTATGGTATTGTGCACTTTTTCCCAATTTTGATTTTGCAGTGAATATTTGTCATGATTAAGCAGTTTTGTTTGATAAATTTCTAGCATAAATGTAATTCGGCTAGTAGATTGTTGGAAGAAGTGTTCAGTAGATAAGAAGAAAAGAAACATGTCTTTACTTCGTGAAGACAAAATGGCGGCGGGGAAAAAAAAATAGAGGGTTGCTGTAGGGGAGTTGGTCGCCAAATTTTCGCCAAAAAATCGCCAAGTTACCGTAATGTAAAGATCAACCGAATATTTTAGTTAGTTTATGATGCTGAATGCGCATAATTTGCTATTCTGTTTACGTTTAAAACTGACTTCGTAGTGCTCTGATCTGATTAGTGTATACATTTATTTACTCAATAATTATTTACAAGAATTGTTCATTCTACTATTTTATGATGAATTACATATATATATGACTATGCTTTTATTTGCAAAGCTATTGGACTTTGTTTTTCTCATCTAGTATTTTATCATCTCATTTTACTATTCTGTTTACATAAAATAACGGCGTTTCACTACTGCAAAACTTAAAATTTACTATTCTGTTTACGTTTAAAAATCACATTTTAGTGCTTTCATTTAGTGCACCTAAAACATTCGCCAAATTTTGAAGGCCAAAATAGTTTGGCGCCAACTTACCCCACTTATGGAATTTTAGCCATTAATGTACTGAAATTAACCGGTTAAATGTGATAAATGAAAAATATTTGTCTTAAATTCCAGTTAACACAGAAAATAATATATTCCTTACACCAGCAGTGGTCTAATTTTGCTGACCATGGTGATGCATCAAACTATTCTGTCATCTTAGATAATCAATATCTTTTATTTCAGTTTAATCATCTATGTATGTCACACCTGCCATCCTCTGAAAGGTTATTGTTAGAAAAGCATTAACAATATATTGTTAAAATTTTACGCCATAAAAATTTATTTATTCTCATAATTTTAGATGACAATAACCAATAATAAAAATTAAAGCATTACTTACTTATTTAAAATGCACATGCACATTTTTTCGGCCTACAGAAACAAATTATTTTAGAGGTTGGAAACCTCATGGTTCTTAGAGCTGTTAAAAATTAAGAACACAACGTGAACAGCCGTGTTACAAATTAGCATTCACCCCTCCCGCCGTATTTTCTTCCTTTCATCCCGAACCAAGAACCGGGATCTGTCTACAAAAATATTTCTGTCTATTCGTTGTTAAAAAATTCAAAAAAAAAATAATAATAAATAAGAGAAGGGTACAACTCTGATATACGCCCTAATTTCACCAAATGTGGCGATATGTGTTCTGCGCTGGTTTTTGGCACGATTGCGTGTTGTATGGCAACCCTGTTGACGTTGAAAAGTCTTTTGCTGGAGTTCGTTGGTTCCCGTCATGCTTTGTGTCTGAGAAGCTATGGGGGAAAGATTTAATGGTGAAAGTTGTTGAATTGAAGTTCGGCATAAGGAAATATCGTCGTGGTCATCCTGTTGAGGGGCCAATGGGTATTTGGAGGTGTGGAAAGAAGTATGGGAGATTATTTTTAGTGGTTGTGCGTGATAGAAGTAGTAGGGATTTGTGATTATTTGTTATTTTATTTATTTGTGAACCATAGTATGAATTTTCTGGATAGTGTGTCTGGCTGTCATATAAATACGATACTAGTGATTACGTGGCGGCATGTTGAAGGCGGTATGAAATTGGTATATCTGCTGTTCGAAAAAGCATTAATGGTAAGTGCATTTTATTTTATTCTTGTTCTTATTTTGTAGAATGTAATGTTCATTGTTTTTTTAGTATGAATTTCTGTCGTTATTGTTGTTTTTTTGAATTGTTTGAAATTTATTTATTTTGTTGATTAGTGTGTACCGTCTGAATTGTGCAATTCGTAGATGTTTTTTAAAGTTGAAACAGAATGCTATGTACATGGTATTCTTTGAAATTTATTGTTGTTATGTTAATTTATTAAAGTGAGGTGCGCATAGTTCGTAAATTCGTTTGTTGCCTAAATTGTGCAATTCGTAGATGTTTTTTTAAGTTGAAACAGGATGCTGTGTACATGGTATTCTTTGAAATTTATTGTTATGTTAATTTATTAAAGCGAGGTGTGCGTAGTTCGTAAATTCGTTCGTTGCCTAGATTGTGCCATTCGTAGATTTTTTTTTAAAATATCGCTAATAAATAAATATCGCTAATAAAATATTGCTAATATATAAATAATAAAATATCGCTAATAAAACATATCGCTGTGTACATGGACTCTTGTAAAATAATTTTGGTTAGAAACTTCACGGTTTTGCTATCTAAATTTTTTGTTTTTGTTTCGGATTTTTAGCTTAAATTGTGTGTTCAAAACGTGGTTTTTGCATTCGTGAAAACCGTGTTTTTGGAGACATTTTAGGCTTAAAGTTCGAAATGTAGACAAAAAATTTAGATAGCAATATGGCAACGTGGAGTTTCTCGCCAAAAATATTTGGCGAGAAATTTGTCACCTTGAGGGTGCATATCAGAGTAGTTCTAAGAGAAGAAGAATATAAACCTGCATATGCGAACAACGACAGCTTTAATTCAACAAAATGAACGCAAGAGGAATTGTTGCAAACTTCGAACGTGTGAATAGGATAAATCCGCTGGGTTACCAGGTTTGAACTATTATCGCCAACGTTGGCGATGTTTACATTTACTGGGTTCTCTGCGGAAGTGCATCTACATTAGCTATTAAAAATACATGAATTAATAAAATATCATAAATACTGTGACTATTTTCTTCTGTAAATTTTTTGGTTTGATTTATTTCATTATGCCAAAGTGCTGTAAAGCTTTTTGCCTAAGCTGAGGAATGCCTTCATGGAGGAATTTTTAAAGCAAACTGGCTGGTATACACGTTACGCATGGGGAAAACAATGAAATTTATTGTTGTTATGTTAATTTATTAAAGTGAGGTGCCCGTAGTTCGTAAATTCGTTTGTTGCCTAAATTGTGCAATTCGTAGATATTTTTTTAAGTTGAAACAGGATGCTGTGTACATGGTATTCTTTGAAATTTATTGTTATGTTAATTTATTAAAGCGAGGTGTGCGTAGTTCGTAAATTCGTTCGTTGCCTAGATTGTGCCATTCGTAGATTTTTTTTTTTAAAATTAAAACATATCGCTGTGCACATGGACTCTTGTAAAATAATTTTGCTTAGAAACTTCATGGTTTTGCTATCTAAATTTTTTGTTTTTGTTTCAGATTTTTAGCTTAAATTGTGTGTTCAAAACGTGGTTTTTGCATTCGCGAAAACCGTGTTTTTGGAGACATTTTAGGCTTAAAGTTCGAAATGTAGACAAAAAATTTAGATAGCAATATGGCAGCGTGGAGTTTCTCGCCAAAAATATTTGGTGAGAAATTTGGCGCCTTGAGGGTGCATATCAGAGTAGTTCCAAGAGAAAAAGAATATAAACCTGCATATGCGAACAACAACAGCTTTAATTCAACAAAATGAACGCAAGAGGAATTGTTGCAAACTTCGAACATGTGAATAGGATAAATTAGCTGGGTTACCAGGTTTGAACTATTATCGCCAACGTTGGCGATGTTTACATTTACTGGGTTCTCTGCGGAAGTGCTTCTACATTAGCTATTAAAAATACATGAATTAATAAAATATCATAAATACTGTGACTATTTTCTTTTGTAAATTTTTTGGTTTGATTTATTTCATTATGCCAAAGTGCTGTAAAGCTTTTTGCCTAAGCTGAGGAATGCCTTCGTGGAGGAATTTTTAAAGCAAACTGGCTGGTATACAAGTTACACATGGGGAAAACCATGAAAATGCATAATCAGAAAGCCTGTTTGCTGGGATTCGAACCCCAGACTGAACTACCAATATCCAGCAACTTGAAATATTGGTGGGGCTTCTTATGTAAATTATCCATATACACTTTTACAAGAAAAATGTCTTTTTTGTGCTTTGCAAATGCAAATTAATCAAAAAGAAGTTTAAAGCTATCTGCATCTGAAATAAATTCCAGAAATGGAATTGAAAATTTTTTCTGCTCAATTTTTGAAAATTTAAATTTTCTTTTTTAATTTCTTGTGCAGAAGCTTCTTGCAGTTGCTTTTACAGTTTAATGCAAATTTCTACATGTCTGTCTCTGTAAGTTTCAGTTTTTTCAAAATCATTGGTGTACAGTTTCCTACCATCTTCAGTCTCCAGTAAACTAATAGTAATTAATTACTGACAGCCTTCAAGTTTCTCGAATTTATCAATAAGTTGCAGCCTTAAAATGGAAGTTTTATTTGGAACTACTCTTATATGCGCCCTCAGATCGCCAAATTTCTCGCCAAAACTCCACACCACCATATTACTACGTAAACTTTTTGTCTACATTTCGAATTTTAAGCCTAAAATGTCTCCAAAAACGCGGTTTTCACAAATGCAAAAACCACGTTTTGAAGACACAATTTAAGCTAAAAATCCGAAACAAAAACAAAAATTTTAGATAGCAAAAGCATAAAGTTTCTAACCAAAAATATTTGCCAAGAATCCATGTACACAGTGATGAATTTTAACTTCAAAAAACATCTACGAAAAAACATTCTTCAAAAACATTCTAGGCAGTGAAGGAATCTACGAACTACGCACACCTCGTTTCAATAAATTAACATTAACTACACTAAATTTCAAAGAATACCATGTACACAGCATTCTGTTTAAACTTTTAAAAACACTGTAGTTGTAGCCATTCTACCGTCTAAACAACAAAACAAGCAATGTACTTCCTAACCAACACACGTTACAAGTCCTTACAAAACATCCCATAGTTCAAAATTTACTGCAGTCATGCAACCGATTACATCATAATAAGGTTTCCATAACATTCAACTATTCAGGTTACCATAAATGAAACAACTTGGTAATAATACAAGGGGTACCCTTCAGTCTACTCTAACCAAGTATTTTTTTTAAAGTCATTTAAGTAGCTTTTTTAATGTACAGACACATTTTGTGAATAATGGTACTGTAAATTGCATTTCACTTTAATGTATTCTGAATACTTTTAATGTTTTTTTTTTTTTTTCAATAAACTCGGTTGTTTAGAATTTATATATAACATCTACTTAATATACATTTTCATTCTCTATAAACATGTGTATAATTATTACTTTGCATTTAAATCATAATAAATAATATTGACATATTTCAAAATAATACCAAATCATTTTCTTATTAGGCTCTATTAGTGGCTTCACCTTTCATGAGCCCATTCGAAAGTCAAGCTGGAATTTTCACCAACAGGGTCCAGATGTTTGGTCCTGATAAATTGGCTCAGAATTTGAAAGATGAGAAATGGGATTATATAAAAGTTGTGTGCACTCAGCCATTTAATAAGGTATTATTGATTTTTTGTTTTGTTTTAATGCCTGAAAGACTGTTATGGATCTATAAATAGAATTTTCTTTTCAACTCTAATGTACGTTGAAAAGAAATGTAACCTTTATCTTGTTATAAATATATGTGAAATAAAAGTGAACGTTAGTTAATCTCAAAAAGAATAAGTGTGCAAATCTTACTTCAAGTAATACAAAATTTGGCTTATCTAAATTCAGGCCAGAAAATTAATGTATAGATTTGATTTTACAAAAATCTAGAACCTTAAGATACAGAAACTTAATATTGAATTTCATGAAAATTTTGCTCCTTTGTTATCACCTCTTCATAAAAGAAGTTTTTCTTTTTTTTAGAGTACTACATACGGTTTAACATTCATAAAATTTCATTCTCCATCTGAAAATTTTGAAGAACAGCCTAAGCCTGAAACAAAAACTGTAAGTTTTCAGTTATTTTTTAGAAAATTATAAGTTATTTCAATACAGATTAATATATATTAATCCTAATGATATAAGACATAAAATTTAGTGGTAGTATGTTCTACAAGGTAACCAAAAAAGTTTTTGCTGCTTTGGACAGTCAGAAAGAAAAAGGTCATAAAACAAATAATAATTACTGCTAATTCTCAAAGTAATCGCCATTGGCATCCAGTGCCTTTTGCCAAGGAGTGGCAAGCTGTGCGGCGCCATCACAGTAAAACTTTTGAGTTTTGGACACAAAGAAGTCTGTGAGGGCCTTTTTGAGGTCTGGCAGGTTGTTGAACCATGATGATGGTTGTCCAGGCAATGGAAAAGGTGGTAGTCTGTTGGACGAGGTCTGGGGAATATGGTGGGTGGGGTAGTGTCTCCCAAACCAGTTGCTGATGCTGGATAGTGTCCTTGGCCTTCCGAGTCACATGTGGCCTCACATTGTCATGGAGGATGAGTACACCCTCACAATTGACCAATCATCAGTGCCTGATGCACACATTTCAACTGCATTCCCAGTCTACCAGATACAGAGCATGATCTTGCGTGGGTGGCGAGAAGGTCTTGCAGTGTGAGGCACAGAGTCCCCTGGTGACAACCAATGTTTGGAATGCCTGGGTGTGTCTACTAGAGTCACATTGCATCACTGGTGAGTACTTGATCAAATATGGATGGATGCACTGCAGTGCTTAGTAAGCAGTGACAAACAGGCAGCGACACGCTGTTGCTTGTTTGCATCAGACAGTGAGTGGGGTTGAGTCATTGCCAGATTTGGCAACTATTTTTATGTTGGGATTCGCTCTTCCAATGTCATATCAGAAACGGCAAGAACTTTTTTGTTTACCTAGTACTTTTAATTCACACCATTGCATATAACATTATTCCTGAGATTAATTTATTGCATGTGTGTAGCATGAAGAAATAGCCTAAATAGATTAAAATATCAATGAACATTTTTAGTGACAGAGATTAACTTAAACATAGTTGCGTACAGCAGAGAAAAAAGGCGAAGAAGTAAGAATGATATACATATACATACGTAATAAAAAGTTGCGTCATCATCACCGCGCGGATAAACGCGAACGGCGCATGCGTCAGGAGAAGCTCTCTTAGCTAAACGTCGTATTATAATTTATGATACAACAATCCCCCTTACGTTTGGCAGCTGAAAAAAAAAAAAATAAAATAACATTATCATTACAGTTATTCCAATTAATTTACAGCACTTAGATGTTTCGAAGCAGTCAATGTTTTTGTCAGTACATCAGCATTTCTCTGTTGGCACATATTTAACGTCTTATTTTATTTCTTCATAAATTTCACGAATGAAATGATGTCTAATATCTATGTGTTTAGTGTTGAGTGATAAACAGCATTTTTCATAAGCTTCTGTGCACCTTGATTATCACAATAAATGGTGGAAATCAGCTAAATAATCTTTAGAAAACGACGTAAATAAATGCTCTTTGGCACTTTCTGAAAGACTGATGTACTCTGCTTCAGACGATAAATGCAACAGTGGTTGCTTCATGATTCCCATGTTATCGGATTCCAGCAAACTTGAATAGGTAACCTATATGATTTTAGTATTAACTCAGACCCAGTTGGCACGGTATATCCAATAAGTGTTTTTCCAGTCTTTCGAAATTTAAACATAATTTTAGTTCTTTTTTATAGAAGAACGTGCTTTGGCAGCAACCAGTGTAATTTTCAGGATTGTTATAAAATTGGCTCAGG